TAAATGTGGCAAATGGAAGAAAGATATTAAAATTTGAAAAATATTCCCGACCGTAATATTTAGCTTGTATGTTTTTGCATTGGTTTTGGTTTGTTTGTGTTTTCTTGGTTTGTTTTGTTTTTTGTAACCGTGACTATTAATCATCGATATCGACTTCATTGATTATTGTCAAGAGAGGGCACATTAGCTGGATCATTTAGTCATTTGTCTAGTCAATATACCTTACTCTCCGCATGGGTCGTAGTAAATTAAAAAGATAAAGATTTTGAAATCTAGCTGACGATTATACGTGTCTCATATACGCCGAAGATAAATGGCATTCAGTAGAACACATTTCTCTGTCTATATAGTTTTGTCTATATCTGCTTGGTGTTACGCCGAATATTACGAGGGCATTCTGAGGAGGTGGAGGATGTGACAATATTTGTGGAATAACGATCCATAAATGATCGACATACACATCATCTTGGAACTGAATGAAAGGATAATTATTAGCGTCAGCATCACACATTGAGAAGGATGGACGATGGATACCACAGCAGATGGCCAGAGACGAGGCAGATGTTGGCCATAACAAGGCACTCTACCAGTAGTTCCAGCAGCAGAAGCTTCTCGAGACATGACTCTGATAGAAGGGATAGGAAGTCGCAGTTCCATCTTGCCGAGGAGGACAGGAGACTTCCACCACCCGCTGTGTTCTGGAGCGACAATGAGAGAGATGCATATAGGAAAAACAGAGTCATACAGAGTAAGTTAAATTCTGATTTGGATGACATCCGGATGCATAAACAGCATTCAACGCGGGTGATTAGATGTGACGCGATGAGATTCAGGTTACGTTCTTCACGATTTCCTCATCTTGTGCCCATGAAATTTGGTGTTTGGGGAAACTACAAGCAGATGCCTCGGTCAATACAGTCGGGGCGTGGTGGGAATATAAGTAGCCTGAGGTGTTCACCGGTTAGAGATGACACTTCATCACCTACGGTATATTCTTCACCTATCCGACAAACTTCGACGGTTCATCTTACACCTACCAGGCAGTCTACGAATTTGTCCTTGCACAGAAATAGCAGCCTCAGAAGTTCCATTGGAGAGGCACAGGGTATTGACCATAAACGACCAGAGACGAGTCCTGTCCTGGTTCGGGATGTACAATATCATACCAAACATAACGAGTCGGGTGACCGGATGGAAGCATCTCATAATGGTTCTATACATCAACAATTACAACAAGATTCAGATCAAAATTCTGACAATGTACTGAACAATGACATTAGTACTTCATCACAGGATAATACTGAAGAAGCATGTGGAAATAAGAGTGTTCCTTCATCCATATTATCCAAAAGGAAAGCTCCAAGAAAGACAGTACGATGGAGTAATCCAGAATATTCCTTTCTGAGGTCGAGGACAACGTTGGACGATCCATCCAAGGTGATCCCAAGTAAAAGTAAATTGGCATCTCTCTACAGTCCGATTCGTAACTTGGAGAACGCTTTGACATCTGAAAAGCTGAGGTTCCAAGACAGCCAAACTAAAGTGTCTGATTACGTGCGCAAGCTTGCAATATGTGGCTTTTCGAGACAGCTGGATACATGTCGTGATCTGGAGCACAAACGAACAACTACCACTACAACATAAACGATGTGATTGCAGGTATTTAGCCTGGTGGTGTACCAACCTATGCTTAGGCATACGATAATGGGATTGTAAGCATGCATAATAGATTATGTTTCTATTGTTATAATGAGATCAAGTCTAACGAGCTTTAGGAATGTGTTGTCCCTGCATTAAATGTCTGCTGATTATATTGCATTTTTTGTCAGAAAACATGACTATTTCCGTAGATTTCCGGGACAGTTACATGTAAACATGTCCCAAGAACACTGCAGAGAAAAACTTGCAGTTGGAGTCTTAACCGAAGGCTTACTGTAGGTAGTGCAAGACGAATAAGCTTTTTTTCAATTTAATCAAACGAAATTGTGATAGTATTGTGTCTGTATAGTGCCAGAAACCTGCTATGATTAAAAGTTCATAAACAATTTCAGTAAACTCCTAGAATTCGACGCAAGGCGTCATTGCGAACATTCATACAAGGCATGGCCATGGTGGAATGTTTACGGTTTTGGAACAGGCGGGCTGGGCATCCAGGTAATCCTGTAGTCTTGTTTAGCTCTAAAATGATAGGTAAGTTCCGAATTGTAATTATACACAAAGAGGCAGTATCATTACATTGCTGTAGGTATTGTACACATCCTGTGTGTCTGAGCGCCATGGAATCAATACCTAACACTGCAAACAGGAAAACGTCGTTTTGACCTGTATATATACATTCGACAAAATACGACCTTTTCTGGGTGTATTCTTCCCATCGGAGTCTGAATAACGTCGTTATTTGACATCGGACTTGACTGCGAGAATATGATGTTATCATGCGTCTCCCTTTTCTTGATCTTGCGTAGATTTCGATGCTCATGCTGTTGATCACTAGATTGTCTGATCCAGACTCGATTGTTTACAGACCGCCGCCATATTGCTGGAATACTGCTGGAGTGCGGCGTTAAACAACAACCAACCAACGCTTTTCTTTATCGACATTGGACGACAAATCTATATGTCAGGACTGGACAATTTTCAAATATTTAACAAACTAACGTCGTGTGGTTGCACAAAAACCGATCTGCAAAGCTTAATAAGGAATGTTTCAGTTACATATTATGGTTATTGTACTCTTATGTGTGAAGACGGACCTCCACGTAAACTGAAAATGAATTATTACGCAGTCTTATGAAATACCGTTATCAGTATAAGAATACTTCACGAAGTCATACAGAAAATTATTGATACACTGAGGAGTGTTTACATTCGGGAGAAAGTGCGCGCTATGCTCCATGATAATGACACCACGCGATATGACAAATGTTGATATAGATACTCTCCTCTCACGTGGACAACTTCACATATGGAAACAAGTATCGCACCTCCGTTTTCATTTCTTCGTGAACATTGGATTGCGGCAGAGGTTCTAAAATGAATTTGTTAAAAATAAGCCTTGCTTCATTAACGACTTACCGTGATAGTAAGTGGTGGAGCGGAGGGGAAAATATTATGGGTTATTGAGTCTGACTATGTCCAGAATTCAGCAATGTAGCAAGTATATATGTTGTTAATGTAATAAAGGGAGTGTGATCGTTCAACATTAACTAGAGGACTGTGCGAAGGATGTATACAAATGATTCTATGTGTTTGTTTGTTGTTTAACTCAGCTATATATCGATTCTGAAATAGGCAATCCAGTGATCAACAGCATGAACATGGATCTACGCTATTGGGCTACGATAAAATGTGTCAACTAAGTCAGCGAGCCTGACCGCCCGATCCCGTTAGTCGCCTTTTACGACAAGCATTGGCTACTGAAGACCAATTCTAACCCGGATCTTCACGGGTGTATCGAGACATGAACTTCTTATGAATGGAAGCTCGTTTTAATATCTTATGAACATGTAACAAAATCCCATCCCCTGAAAAAGATCTGATATAATGTTAAGTTCCAATTCATCGTGTTCCTGGAATGTCTACTTGACCAGTAGGGTCAGCAGTGAAGCCAAAACACAGGTCACACCACTTCGGACAGTTCCGGCCGAATCCGTCGTAGGGAATACCACATCCGGGCCTGTGAATAATTCAAATAAAGAAACAGTGATCTTCATCTCTCAATATCTCATCAAGTCAGGACTGAGTTAATTGGTGTTTATGTCGCTTTTAGCAATGTTCCAGCTATATCACGGCGGGGAACACCGGAAATGGGCTTCACACATTGTACCCATGTGGGGAATCGAACCCGGGTCTACAGCGTGAGCCTGACCACCCGACCCCGTTAGTCGCCTCAACTATTACGACAAGCATGGGCTCCTGAAAATCATAGGTTCTTCTAACCCTGATCTTCACGTTTGATTCCATGATATACTGAGAGAAACAAACAAAGGATCACACGAAAATTCAAGCGTTCCTTTAATATTTTCCAGTTTTCATCACCGTTTGGAATCGCACTGTGGCGATGAAAACTGGAATATAATAAGGAACGCTTGCATTTTCCTGTGATCCTTTATTTATTTCTCTCAGTAGATATGATATATACTGATATTCATGTGTATCCTATAATAGGAAGGTTCCTTGGCAACACGGTATCTGTTGGGCCATTATCGGATATTTCCGATCTAGTTGATCAAGTTGGCTTCTGGGTTAATTATTAGTAAAATAGGTTTATTTATCAAAATTAGCTTTTGACCGAAAATAAGAATCTAACAAGGGCGTACATGAGGCCTTTGTAAGTGTAGGTAATTTTGAAAACATAAAGTACGAGCCAGTTTTAGAGCGGACAGTAACGGTCGCCTCTCGTGCCCATTTCTGTAGCTGTGTCTGTAGTCATCTGGAGTTTTGTGGATCTTATCCAATCTTATTCCAATTCCAGCCTGAAACTATTGGATGTGTTACATATATTTTACCTCCATTTTGTCTTTGTGTGGACCCTCTAGAGGTATATCTTTATGACCGGCTGCCAGAGTAGATACTCTAGCGGTTTCAGTTGTGAGTAGCCCTTCCTGACGTGAGAGCCGAATCATGTCAAGAACCTTTCATTGAGTTGAAAACATTATCAGAAGAACTTTCAATCTGGTCTGTATCCTTGAAATGTACAGCAATACAATGACGCCTTTCAGTGTAAATTTCGAATTCACATAATGAAAAACATCTGTTCGAAATCGGCGTGTTGGGCCATATTCACATCACGTTGTGAATGGCCATGGAATAATCATTTTCTAAATCCATATATAACCATACAGCCCGGTTCCCAAAAATATGTCCCCAAACGGAATACCCTTTTCTGTTCTTTAATGATATATATCAGTGTATATATCGCAATTGTGTCAGTAATTTGCTGAACTGTTCATGACGTTGTTGAGTTTATGGTTTTTTTAAGTGTAATTAAAAATCCCGAAGACAAATGACCGTTTTATTAATCAACAGAATCCGTTTCAAATCTGTGTAACGAACCATTATCGTTTTTGGTTTGCATTACAAGTTTTAGCCAATTATGTTTGGACTTGAGTGACACTGCTGTTGACACTTGTCGGAGAAGTCCATCTGGTCACAGAATGTCACGTGACAAGTGATGTAGATGCCGTCCTGTTCATTGGGGATGTCAAACATGTCAAACTTAAACCTGGTCACGGAGTTCCTCGTCACGAGGATCTGAGTACGAGCAGCCACGGCACACCTGGAAATATAACAAGAACGTTTCCAAAGCCAGATTGAACAATTGTAAAAAACTTCATATTTTCTTATGATTTTTCGTAATCAAATGTTATTTACACGTATTTTGATGTTTAAAAATAACTTGACCTGCTGCAAGTAACACGAACTCGGAAGTAAATTTAAATATATAACAACTTGTATTCCGAAGATTACATCCTGTACGGAATAATGTTACAAGAGTGATTTTCCAATTGTAGGAGCGCAGAGGAACGTAACGGGTTTTTTTAAGAAAAGAAGGACACATATCAAAAACCTTTTCTTCAGATGCAAAGTCACCTCACTCACCCATCTGTAATGAGAGGATAAGATGCTTGTTTCCCCGGAACACTGTCAAGGTGGGCGTCACATGATCGTAACACCATTATTGTATTGGAAGTCCCTGGCGAGGCAACTTCAACGTACACAGGTGCTCCAATCTTATTGTGAATCAAATTGCCCTTCAAAAGGTGCATATATGATGCATCTTGGTACAGGGATATATGGACGCTGGATCCTTGCACCTGTCCAGATGTTGAGCCATGTGCAGTTGTATTTAAATCAGGGTAAAGGTGAACAGAGTCCGTCCCATCCACTGGTTCAGAGCAGCTGACATCATGAACCCAGATGACATCTCGAACCAAATGATCGGTCCATGGTAGTGCATACGCCAAGGTATTCTTAAACGTAACCATTCCTTTGGATACCTGAATAATGTAGAGATAAGAGACACAAGAAGATCGTTCCATTTTAGAATACATATCTAAATGGTTACACATCAGGGCCTGGGCCGCGTTTCGCTGTCGAAACCCCAATACCTTAACATACACTTACGACCGTTATAGGGATACGACCGCTTTATTAAATGGGTTCCTGGACGTCTGCCGATATGTGTCTTGCAATACGATAGGCGGAAAAGGAGGCGACACTCATCGAAGAGGATTTCCCCCAACTGTCAACTACAAATGTTGGGTCGCACGTCGTCGATTTTAGACGACATTACTCCATCACAAACATTCTAATATAAATGTTGCAATAGTGGCCTAATACGTTACGTGAAGATATGTCTAATGTCATGGTTGCATATAAGCTTTCTAATTCTTGCGACAGAAAGACTAACATATATGACAGACGTCCAACTTTAGCGTGCATGTCTCACTTGAAATGCAACTGCATTTCGAACTTCTTGGTATTACTTGGTTATTAGAAAACTTACTATTCTTGCCATCATCAGTCATCCTTGGGTCATTTCTTGCACACGATTGCATATGGCATGCCAGGCATGCATATGCTTGTTGCCAGCTAAGGTTTCTGACAGAAGTGTTTGACGGAGGCGTGTCGCCATATTGGAATATAAGAGGATTGGAATCGACTAAGTTCGAGATGACAAAACTCAAAGCTTGCTAAGGATCGATACTGTAAAAGGTAATATGTCGAATCGTGTGTATCTGTTCAAACTACGAATGGATTTTATGCATGTTCTGATCGAGTCAGCCCGTTTCTATTTCATTTACGCTACGTGCTCAACACGCCTTTTAGACTTGCAACCCATCGCCATCACAACTGGCATTGGGAGGATCATCCTTTTTGTCTTTCTCAGACAGTCAGTAACTAACAGAAAAGGGGCAGGGATATGGTTGTAAGAAGTTCACGGTACAGGTGCCTAAGATTGTGTCACAAGACACCACTCAATCCCTTCTCACACAACTGGGGCAAAAAATGGCCATGTCTTCGGGACAGCAATACTGTATGAGAGTCGAATTCCTGAATGCCATACCTGTTCGTTAGTACCATACTCGCTGGTTCCATCAACATGTTTAATGCAGAGACCTGTTTCACTTCGGGCTATATGAAACTGACACGCGGCAATAGCTGGCATCCTGTTAAAAGCGGCGTTAAACCAAACTCCCTCACTCGTACACTATGCCCAGAATTTCATTTCCTTAACATTACATCAGCACATAAATAATATGAAAATGTATTAACTTCGAATGGCGAGTTCTTTGCTATTTGGATATTAGTACAATCTTGGTTTAACTGTTGCAATGGTTGATGGAAGTTTAGTTCTGATGTCTGAAATAGAGGCGCCATCATTTCAGTAATTTCATCTCAGTTACCTGCGTTTAGGTGACGCTAATATGTATTCTGAAACCTACACTTGTTTGTGTCTGGCAGTCGTTGTAAGACATGTTGAATATGAGCTGCTCTCCCTGCATCGTTCCGACACACGTGTCCTTGGTCATGTAGATGTGTGGAAGGAGACTGATATCGAGGTTCAATTCTATGAAGTCTATGGTAATGAACCAACCGCCGGGTAGGCATTTAAGAGTGACAGCACCTTCCACTGAAAAATGTTTTCGCCAGAAAAAAAAACCAGTTTCATTCATGACAATTTTGAAAGCACAGCTTATAGGCTATAATTGCATCTAATCTTATATATCAGTTCTTTGTCAAACACGTACGCTGAAATGTAATATATGATATATGTTTAATGATTCAAAAGTTTCTTTTTTCTATTTTCTTGACTGGCACTGGCCCAACAAATGCTGAAAACAGTTCAAAACACCCGGATGTTAGTTACAACATCTGGTCTTTCTCAACAACATGAGCGACAATGTTTTCCTCAACATCCTTATTGTGCAATAAGATCAACCATACCTTCCTAAGTAATCGGACATGTATAGTAACTTACATGTTTGTGCCAGTGACGGAAGACGGTATCCTGCATTGTAGCTGTATGACTCCATGCCAAATGATTCGTGAAGTCTGACTAGAATCGGCGATGAACTGTTGACAACATATGGTCTTTGAGGGTGTATCTGTAGTACCCCGACAGTGTAAGGTGCCGTTGTGAGGTTAGTCCACTGGATGTCATCCCGATGTTGACCATTTACACGAACATCCATGAATGATGACACCTCAGATACAATAGTAATCATTGGACTCTCTCTGTTCACCCCATCCAAATCTAAACTCTTTACAATGTAGTTGTTGTCATAAAGTGCCGTTCCTGGCACAAACAACGATGTGCCTGCACCTTTTTTGATGTAAATGCTCTCGGTACTCATTACTGGTCGAGTGCTTTGTATGATGAAGTTGGCGCTGGATAGGGAACAGTACTGTTTGAACTCGGTGGAATTCAGTGATGTAGACCATGCTATTATATTTCCACTTGTTTCTTCCTTTGTTATATTCACGATTGTATTGTCATACTTTGCCAATACACGAAACGACATTGCTCCTAGATCACTCGTCTCCACTTTGGGAATAATTTGAGTGTTTGAGAATGCGCTCTCTGGGGGGAACCTGTCTAACCAGATGTTGACCAGTAAGATGTGCATCACAGGTAGGCGCTGCGAGATACAAAGCCCCTGCAAAAACTGCGACCTGATGATTAGAACGGATTCGGGTTCCCCCCTAAGTCACACGTATCAGAGCTCGCATATGAAGCTAAACCTATCTGAAAGACGTCACCATAGCCCAGTGTGACATTAACAATGTCTCCATCTGAGTATCGGACACCGTTAAACACATATTGACATGTTGCATTAAGAGTTACGAAAACCTTAGTGTTATCTTGGGTGGCCACAACGCCAAGATTTGCATTTTTCTCGACACTTGCAACGACATAATTCGTTGACAACATATCATCAGAAAGAACTGTGAATGTGTCTGATGTTTGCACACTCTCATGGTACTTATTGTGTCCATAAAGAGCTATTTCTGTTGTGCAGTTCACATAAATAGCCTTAGGATCTATTCTTGTTCCAACTGGTAGTTGTGTGGCGTCAGATAGCTCCAGTTTAACTAAATCGTTGGCGACAACATTCACACTGGTCTGACGTCTTGTGCCGTCATTGTAGTTCACAGTACAAACACCGACAAGAGAGGATGAGAAGTACAGAATGTTTCGAAGAGCATTTGTTGGAGCATAGATGAATTCAGGAAAGAAAGCGAGAGAAAATGTTCTTCCTTTTGTATCATTGAGAGCTGTAATGCAATACAAATGAACCTGGAGTCTTCGTAGAATAAAACGTCATTCGTTAGCGTCAATATTTTAGACATCTCTATTCTATTTCATCGAATATATCGCTTATGTGAAATTCTTTTGACGATAAATACACCATGCGTGCCCTCACAGAACCTGGGTACATAGTGTAGGTGTAACTGCATAAATTAACTGCACGTCATATTTCTGTATCTGAGTACACGGCAAGCTCTGAAGGAGTGGCACTTACATGTAGCGTCTTCGTCAACAAGCATACATGGACAGCACGTCACTATTATGATGTCAAATCCCCAAAACATGACGTCATAGTCGGATATGGAAATTTGGAGCTGTTTATTGTCGCTAGCAATTCGACGCTTGTAGTTGAGTTGATACTTCTATCGCTTGTTCTTGATTAATGCGTTCCTTAAATCAACAATTTACAACGACGCCTTCAGAGATTCAAGCACTCTCTTAGGGAATAATAATCAAGTAGTCTCAATGATAATATTGAACAAACTTTATTGATGACAACGTTGTTATTTCGTGAGTGCGACGTTTCGATACATATTCTTGTACCGTTGTCAAGCAGGAATGTACCGTTGTCATTGACACCGCTTGACAACGGTACAACAATCTGTATGGAAACGTCACATACACAAAAAGAGAAGTTGTCATCCATAAAGTGTGTTCAATATTGTACGTCCCAACTTCTTAAATGCCACTCAAACAAGTTTCAATGATAGAAAGTACATTATATATTGTATAATTGTATATTGTACAATATATGTAGTGTTGGTCCAATATCTAAAAACTGTGGTACCGTAACTACACACCTACCTTCACATAGCAGATTACAGGAACATAAAATGCAAACCAACTTTAGGATATTCATCAAAGCAGCCATCTTTCGTCCTCGATCACTGTTGAGAACAAAGTAAGTGGAAATTTATCTGAGATCCTTTTTAAGCTGGACTACTTGACCTATCTTCTAAATATAAAATTAGTTATCTTAGATTAAATGAAGTTAAAAAGAAATATATTCATTTACAATACAGCATAAACGACAACACAGAAATCCTTGTAAAGAAGACATTTGCGGATTTGCATGTGTATTTTCACTTCTGTCAGGTGCTGAGCGTGGAACTGGGACAGTGTTACTGTGTAGCAAGAATTTCTGAGCGAATTGTGTCTTACATATAATACATTAGTTGCAGTTGGTTTCCTTGTGTCAGCTTCACTTAGGAAGTGGTGATGTTTATATCCGTTCGTTTACCCCTTGGTGAACCAACTAGCACGGATATAACGCTGACCAACAAAGACCGAGTTCAAAATTAGAAACTACGATCTTACGATACTGGCACTTCAGAGGGACGTTATTTTGCACAACGCATTTCGACGGCTTAATTGTTTACACAGACAAGGGAGACAAATTATGTTCATACACCTTGCCAATAGCAGGTGTATCACACACATGTACAAAGTCAAGTTTTTCAAGTTTGCAAATGGGCAAGGTTAAAGACATGAATCGCCAATTTGAAAAGATTCAACATCAGAAGCTAGCTCACGAACAGTTTGCACATGTCATGGTGATAACCTTTCGCCACTCAGTCCACGTCCTGTTCATTTCACAAAAGATAAGGCATATACTCGTTGTAAATTGAGCATACGTTTAAAGCACTTTTAAAATCTATTTAAAATGTCTAATTTTATATCCATGTGTAATTGTTATTAGAAATGCGTACATGCATCATGCCCCATGTCGCCTTAGGTTGAAGTAGTATTAGAAATAGAAGTGACTGAATAAAGACAATAGTGGACAAGGCGTGATTTGTGAGTGCAGGAAATAAGATGCCTGACAAACATGCTAGAAAAAAGACGCTGTCTAAAGCTTCCCCAGAAGTCATCTATACAATAGGATACTGGACTCGTTTAGACGTTTACCATTTTGGTGAAACCCAAGGTGCTTGTGAAGAACAAACAATATTGATGAGCAAATTTGGAACCAACGATAAGATCATTGCATGTGAAAGGGAATCTTTGAGCAGCGAAATAGTTTACCTTCGAACCAATCGAGTCTCAAATTACAATATGATCTGAACGCCATTACCACAGACGTGCGTCGAGGAATTCGTGAATGTTGGAGAACAATCAAGACCGTGCAAACTGTGAACCAGGTCAATGGAGGCATGTGTGCAGCTATGACAACGGCATGTATATAGTTTCCTATCCACTATCAAGTCTGTTATGATTTACCTTGAACACTGCCTGTTGCGTAAAACAACATTCACTCAATGTTCATTACAATGAACTGTGTGCACAATTATTGGGAGAAAATACGGAGTAAAGCCTTTAATTTGTTCTTATCTTATCAAAGAAAAGCAGCAATATAAAAATCAGACAACACAGAGACTGTGTTTGTATTTACATTTCAAACATGGCCTGATAGCCTAAAGGCCAAGTTTTTATTCATCAGGTTGAAAAGCCCTGTTCGAATTGACATGCTTGGTTGGTGTTTGTTTAGCTTCATTTCATTTCGGCTTTTTTGACAGACTGACTTGACAGGAACCTCTACAATTGATTTTTCCATGACGATTTGGGTAAGAGTGAGTGAGTGAGTTCAGTTTTACGCCACACTCAGCAATATTCCAGCTATATGGCGGCGGTCTGTAAATAATAGAGTCTGGACCAGACAATCCAGTGATCAACAGCAGGAGCATCGATCTGCGCAATTGGGAACCGATGACATGTGTCAACCAAGCCAGCGGGCCTGACCACCCGATCCCTTTAGTCTACTCTTACGACAAGCAAGGGTTACTGAAGGCTCATTCTAACCCGGACCTTCACTGGTATTTGGGTAAGAATTGGTCTTCAGTAACCCATGCTTGTCGTAAGAGGCGACGAAACAGTTCGGGTGGTCTGGCTCGCTGACTTGGTTGACACATGTATCACATCGTATCAGAACTGGGTAGACCGATGATCGCTGTTGATCACAGGATTCTCTGGTCCAGATCGATACTTTACAGACCGCCACCATATAGTTGGAATATCGCTGAGTGCGGCGTTAAACAACAAACAAAAAATTGAAATATGCGCACAAAAACTCATTTCAGCCCTCGGATCGTTTGTGCTATAGCGTTAACGTAAGTGTAAGATTTGTATATTTGTTATTATATACATTGACTTTTGGAACATCATGTGGTCGTACTTTTGGTCCAACTCTGTTATGTGCATGATTTAGCCAGGAAATATGTCACCGCGGCTGTACACACCACTCACTTACTCATAGTTTTAATAAGATGGTTCTACCGTGCTCCTTCGGTGCCACCGCCATGATGGTGGTAAAGATCTGAAACCTTCATCCTGTCTCATCAAGCTAACACTTCATGACATCGCTGGAATTCAAAGAGGAGTTTAAACCATGTCAGTCAGTTACTCATTGTATTGAAAACTGTCCCTTTGATCTAGGGAGCTGTAATTGTAATACACTGTGAAGAAATCATAAGTAACCTTATTTTATCCTATTTTAAACCCCGATCACAGAATCACGTTTCAAACCACAGATTCGTCTACATAATTAGTGTCTATGTTTCCTTCTGTCATCCTTCTTTGGCATCATCAGGGTGGCAGAAGTATCTTAGGCACAGCCTCCCATATTAAGCTGACACGGAAGCAAATTACTGAATAAATTTTCCAATCCGTGACATCAAACCATATTGCCTTGTTGAAGAGCTTAAACGGTGCGTATCGCGACGGGGACACAGCCAATCTGTTGAATCCCACTTCTTCAATGCACCTGGCCAGTAGGCTACTCCACCAACTTGTCTGTGGTGTTTCGCCATCTTCAGCAATGTTCCAGCAATATAGAAACGAAGATGCCAAAATGGGCTTTTCAATCCCACTTCTTTGATGTGCCTAGACAGTAGGTTTCGCCACCAACTTGCCTGTGGTGTTTCGCGATCTTTAGCAATATTCCAGCAAAATAAGAATGACAGGGACACAAAAATAGGCTGTTCAATCCCACTTCTTCGATGTGCCTGGCCAGAAGGCTACTCCTCCAACTTGCGTGTGGTGTTTCACCATCTTCAGCAATATTCCAGCAAACTAGGAACGACGGGGACACCAAACATGGGCTGCTCAGTCCTCGTTGTTCACGTGACGAGCTACCTGGCTACTCCTCCTGACAGGTTGATCCTGGGAGTAAAGACTCATTTACGACGGTTATGGAAGAACCGTTCTAATCAGAGACAAATGAAGCTGTGGCCAATCAATGTGATAGTAGACGAGAAATGCAGGAAGATGTTATGAATGTTGCGAACATTAAGGCATACATTATATCATAGTTCGTCTTGGAAAAGAAGAAAGTATTTGAAAAATAAATATTTCTGTGATCTTGTCATTCCGAACAAAAAATGTAATAATAGAAAACTATGTATCACAATATTCTGTTAAAAATCAGGCGTTGTATTTTATTAAATGCCATGTATCAACTTTACAGACACGCTTAATGTAACTTCAATACTGATAACTCTTTCACTGCCTCGCTAACAGAGAACATATTTTACTAAATCAAGGGCATGTTCACAACATACTGTCCTAAGGTGTGTATGGAGTGAGTGGGTGAGTGAGTTAAGTTGTACGACGTAGTCAGCAATATTCCAGCTATGTGGTGGCAGTCTGTAAATAATCGAGTCTGGAACAGACAATCCGGTGATCAACAGCATGAGCATCGATCTAAGCAATTGGGATACGATGACATATCAACTAAGTCAGTGAGCACGACCATCCGATCCCGTAAGTCGCCTCTTACGATTAGCATCGGTTACTGAAGATCAATTCTAACCCGCATCTTCACGGGTCGTGTGTATGGAACATGTCCATTGCATATATTAAGCATTGAGCGTTCAGAACATGTAAATTGTTTTACACCAAACCTTAATTGATACACCCATCATTAGTTAGAAACAATTACATTTACAGGGAAAACTGTCCACATCTAATTTGAGCTCAGATCTACAAGCGTATGTGACTTTTCACCCGTAATTCTGCGTTCGAATTTTACCTGGAAAAGAAGGAGAAATGTGATAGTCAGTTTGCTCTTGTCAGTCCCAACCTCTCTAATACTTCAGATATCATGGCTTCCTGTCTGCTGACAAACTGTTGTGGGGTTCGGGCCACTCTATTGCCGCTATGGAGGCGAAATGCCTCGCTCTGGACCATGATGTCTTCACTAAAAGGATTCGCTGTATTGTAAACCTCCTGTGATTGTACAAATTCAACCACCTTCCTTTGAATTTCAATCTTTGCAGGAAACGTTCGTCGACGTTTCGCTGAGGTCAAGGTCGTACACACGTGACCCTTGTTATCTGGTGGAAGCATCTGGGTGGATTCTCTGACCAGCCGCTTCAATGACGGGTTTACTTCTGTCTCTTTATCAGCCTTAATACTTAGCTTCCTGTCTTGACAACCTTTAGTATGTACGTCTACATTACATCTTCCAACATCGATAAAACTCCCAGAACTCCCAGAGGCATAGTCCGGCTTCAAGGGCATCACCGTTGTTTCTATAGACTCCAGAAACTGTCTGACATAGCTGTCAGATTGGCGCAGATTCGTTGACTTGGAAACACTTGCTGTGTTTATCTTTCCATGTTTATCTGCTTCGTACTTCAGAACTATTTTGGAAACATTTTCCAAGCCCTATTTAACAACAGCTATTTCGAATCAAACCAATCAATCAGACTTTGTGATTCGTGTTTATATGTACTGAACCACAAAAGAAATGTCGCACCGATAGTGGTTTCTTAAAGGCTCACACTTTTAGTCACTCTTATAAACAATCAAACCGGAGGACTGAGTTCAAACTTGACAATTATGGTTAACACATTTTCGGGAAACACATTTAGAGTTCACACAAACAACATCATCAATGGTACCATTAAGATACCCCAAAGTCAGTATCGTGTGCGGGCTCTA